TTAAGGGCCAAGATATTAGGATCCCTATCATAATCCCTATTAAGGGGAGGGGTTTGGTTGAATAAATCAGGGGTCTACATTACACCCTAAACTGCAAGGACTCCGCTTTAATCTGGAGGCAAGGAGTTGCAGTAGGGTTTGCTTGCGCATTGGGATGTAGTATCTGGGGATGTTGGGAGTGTAGCCCTAAACCCTGAACCCTAAACCCTAAACCCCCTAAATCCTAAGTATTGTGGAAGAGGGCTCAGGCAGATATTTGGAGGTTCAAGCCTACATCCACTTAGTCTGAGGGTATCCCCAAATTAGGTGTACCCTTTTGGGGGGGTTCCTCAAATAGGGTGTGTAATATTTTGGGGTCTATATTGAGGTCCCCCTATGTATGGAAACGAAGTATGGCCCCAATTAACATGGGTTGAGGGTTTGGGGGTTAGGATTTATGGTTTAGGGCTTCAGGGCTCTGGTGTATTTATTCAACATGTTGTACTCGTCCTGCCACACATCTAAACCCCAAGCACCCCAAACCCTACTGAGGAAATGCGTGCGAAAGTTGCTCGGATGTGGATTCATTTGCCCTTGAGGTTTCAGTCTTGGTGTCATACATGGTTCGATTTGCTTAAGAATTTTGTATGTAGCCAGATCGTCCAGGGTGACCACCACGGCGCCTTGACGGAACGCCGCTGATTCACACTTGATTTGTTAAACCCTAAACCCTAAACCCTAACTCAGTGAAGCTCAATTTTCCAAATCGGTAAACATGAAAATCTAGGCTCTGAGGCGCTTGCCTCATCATGCTTCAGCAAAGAACCTAGACCTTCCTCCTACCCTCTATGAGGGCCTAAGTACCCACTATTAGGGACCATATATCCCCAATTAAGGGTACAAGGAAGGTCCTGGAACTGACATGTGCAATGATTTCAACTCTCTCATGCACTGATTGCTGCCACTATGGCCAAGTAGCTGGCATGCAAATAGTTTGTTGGCTTTATTCAGTTCAAGTGGTCACTTCTTTTGGAGCCACGGAAGACCGGAAAGAGAAGAGCACATTTCAGGTCATCAAAATGGTCCAAATTCTACACTAGCCTTGGTTGTCTCAGGTGACGGGTTGGCAGTTGATTCAAGCGAGAGCCTTCTAGGGATCCAGGAGTGCAGAAGAAGTCAAGAGCGACGTCAAGGGTACACTAAACATGGTTTCGGGTTGAGGGTCCCACAAGAAGGTGGAGCCTCTAAAGCGGTCGCAAGAAGACTGCATTCCCGTGTGACGTGGGGATCAATGTCTGTCTGGACATGATTCAGCAGGGACCACAGGATCCCAGAAAGATTTTGGCAACTCGCTCTGCCAAAGCCCGACACACACATTTGATTCTCCAGTGTTCGGGAAATATCTTTAAGCCCGAAATTTCAAAAAACATATGAGATTCCATGTCTTGTCCATTCCCATATATGCCCTTATGTATCCTTTTCTTACCCTTTAAAGGGACCTATAATACATAAGTGGCTTCGAGGTTGAAGTACATCCGGATGGCCACGTTGACGACCAACTGCTGCTTGCAAGCAGTATTCCAGGGCTTGCGGTTTAGGATTTAGGCCCTAAGCCCCAAACCCTAAGCCTGAGCCTCGTTTCACTCGTGTAAGATTAGGAGCTCAACGAAGGGCTTCTGGGGATTCTCCCTACACCCTAACACTTACGTTTTCAACATAGGGTTGTGGGGCTTAGGGTGGTAGCCTGAGGAATGGCGAATAATGGAGGATCAAGACGGAAAGAACATGGCAAATTACATGGGAACTGGGTTTTTATGTAGGGGGTAGTGGGTGTTTTGTAGTGCTTTTGTGTTATAGGGGCCTCAATAACTACCAAGATTATGGTCATTGCGGTGCAGAAGAAATCCGGTAGTGAGGAGCTGGGGGCTTCAAACTTTGCTGAGGCACTATGCAGCTGCTTCAGAATGTCAATAATGGGATGGCGCCTCCCCCCTTTATTTTTTGCATTTGCAGTAAAGCTTCCCTAGTCCTATTGTGGGTGGAACCCAGCGAAGCATTGCCAAGAGGTTCCAAATTCAAGAAGAGCAGTGGTTTGAGGACCCCGGAAATACGCTGAGCTTAAAGATGTGAACTTCACTCTCCCAGACTAAACCCTAAAGCCTAAAACCCTAGACCCTAAAACCCTAAAATCCTAAACCCGCAAAAGCGCTGAACCTCGACCACATTTTGTGCCATATGAAATCCTGGTCAAACACTCGCAATTCGGTACCCCTCTGTTTGGCTCCTGGAAAGAGGGCTGGGTCGTTGTTACAATCACTTATGTAGTCCCAAACCCAAAAGTTTAGGGTTTAGGGTTTAGGGACTCTAAATGCGTGTTTCGAAAAAATGCGGGGCTCCAACATATACGCCTACATGTAGTATAGCCCTTCTAACTCTAGGTGCGCTCAAAAAGGTGCCCCTAAGTTTTGGAAACTCCCAAATCATAAGCCTTGAACACCTCAACCCTGACAGTTCTTCCAAAGTGCAGAGCTGGCTACAACATGAGGCTTTAGGGTTTAGGGCTTATGGTCCCCAAACCCTAAACCCTAAATGCCCGAAGTCCCTAAACCCTAAATGCCCTAAATGCAGAGCAGGCAATTCACAGTCTGGGTCCTTCACGGCTGCCAGCGCAGTGGGCGACTTGGAAACCAACATGGCCATCGATGAAGAGTTCGAAGAGGCCAGCGGGGTGTAATTGGGCTTACCGAGTCCAGGGTTTAGGGTTTAGGGGTTAAGGGTTTAGGGTTTAGGTAGGACTTGCTGGCATACCCTAAGGTTCCAAGTACCCAATAATTACGTAAAGGGTATTTTGTAAATACGGATTTGTAGTCCAGGTTTCGGGCAAGTATACGATTAATTGTTAAGTACTAGGACTCTTTATAGTCCCCTAGAATGCTAGTGTTCGTTAGGGATTGTAACAGGGATTCTCAGTCACTATTACTGCTTGCGGGGCTGATCCTGACCCTCAAGCCTGACTCCGTTTAGAGTGTAGGGTATTTAAACGCAGGCCCATACTTGGGGGCCAGGGGCACTGTTGCAAGAGCATCCTTGTATAAACATGGAAGCCTTGTAGGTGTTTTGGCATATGATAATCTCATAACCCAGTTATCCCCATCAAGAACCTTTGACAATATCCCCCTAGACTCTAAACACTAGTCTTTAATTCTGGATATCATGGTTCCACCTCCCCATTCCTTACTATGTCTCGCAATCATCAACCATTGAGGACTACTTACTAAGTCCCCCTGCCTTGCCACTTTAGCTGAGTCAGAAAAAATGCAGCAATATCCTGTTCTCCCTTTTCTAATTACTACACACACTGTAGATAGCACTATTTTTCGCAACATCACCGAGTAACATCCCCACTTACCATTGTTGGTAATATTCTTATTCAATATTGCAAATAACTCTAGTTTTCGTAGTATAGTCCCCCTTAAGTAGATAGAATATGGCTTTGGGTATATTCTAATAAGATCCCCATATACCCCATATTCTATCTACTTAAGGGGGACTATATATCTACCTTGACTCCAAGTAGGTGATGAAGCGCATGGGTGCCAAGAAGCGCGGCTCAGTCATTCGACCCGAGTAGGCGCGCAGCTCGCCTAAGCTGTCGTAGGTTAAGGGTTTAGGGTTTGGGGCCTTGTGGCGGGTTTGTGCATTCTGGGGGTTTAGGTAAGGTTCTTACTGGGATTTTGGTGAGTGTATGTCGAGCTTTTTAGGATTCCCGGTGGGCAACTGAATCAAGATCTGGGGTTCTGGGTTAAGGGCTAAGCTCTGCACGCCCTTCCTTTCTGTATGAATTATGGTATATCTCAAAGAGGCAGAACATCCCGCAGGTAGTTTTAACGTGGGACCCTCTTTAAGCTTGGGAACGCCCTCGAACAATTGGGGGTCTTATGCCTACAAGTACCAGCATATTCTTCTTATTATGATTACTACTGTTATTCTAGAAAAAAGTAAGCACGGACCCTCAAGAAGGGCCCCTAAGCCTCCCAGGGCCCGGGGCCTTGATTTAACGAAGGTTAAAGGGGATGGTTTGGGTTCTGCTAGGACCCCAAAATTAACGCAAATTATGGTAGTTCCCCAGAATTTTGTTTACCCACAATATGCACATTATGGTAGTTTCCCAAAATTTTGGGTACCCCAATATAGACCCCAACATATTATAGTCCTTATTATCGAGACCCCCAAGAGGTACCCCTAATTTTGGGAAACCTCCTTATGTGGGGTACAAACATTTGTTTCGGGCTCGCATGGGTGGGCTCAACTCCAGGAGTGTTGTTTCCCTGGCCAGGACTGGGAAAACCTCCTGGACGAGGGGGTTTTGATAGGCCGGTTTAGGGTTTTAGCGATTTCAACAAGACGTTATCATGGTTGTTTCTCATGCGACGGTTGTATGTAGTTGTTATTATGACCTTGGCCAGGGCCCATTTGGGCTGCTGGGTGTGTGTGTTTAGCTAGGACCACGGCGGACCTGCGTAGAATATTCAGAAATTCAAAATAAAATGCAAACAACCTCGACAGTACACCTTTGAGCAACAGGTAAACCACGAAGTCTACCGAAACCACGAATTGCAACTCTCACATGAATCTCCTTAAGATCTTAATTTGCGAAAGTTGTTACACCTTTTCAGCAACAATGTGGCCGGTATTTTCACAGTACAACCAGATTGCTTGAATACATCTGCAGCTGGACCCCTTTTCCTTCACCGCCAGCTGCTGCAGTGTACTTATACTGCATATCAGGCTTTGCCATTTCTGCACAACCTGTTGGAGTGTCATCTTTGGCTACATACTTTTGATTTTCAACATCAACATCTTCTACACACGGTATAGAAGCCACGCTTGAAGGACGCTGTGCTCGGTTGTGAATGAATACCCGGCGCTGACGTCTTCCCGAATCCCCCAAAAAAGTGGCAGGGAGGCTGCAAAAACTTTCAGGCAAGCCAACTTCGGGAGTCTCATGGGTATGGCTGAGGATTTTGAATTTGGGTTCAAGGTTCAGGTATTAGTTTAGATTTCAGGATTTCAAAGTTTCGGGTAAAAAGCAGCAAGTAGTGAAGCGAATGCACAGCTATCTCGTTGTACATTTTACCCCCAAGGGATCCAGTTACGTAACCAGCAGAGTACTCAGGATTTTGGTCACAGTAATGGTGGTAGAGACCTAGGACCTAGGTGAGGTGTATTTATCACTAAGAGGTACCTGGACCTTAGAGCTACAATTTGACGTCAAAGTCGTCCTTTGAACCTCACCTTGCAACTACCTTGAGTGATGCTTAAACCTAGAACCCTGAACCAGGCCAAGGATGAAATCTATGCCTCGGGTGATCGAGCAGAGTGAATCGAGTCATTGCTCAGAGATGGCATGGTTCTCAAAAAGCTGAATATGCAAAGTCTCTCAACATTCGTGGCCCGTTGATTTGTCTCCAACATGTGGGCATGTGCACTTTGTTTCAGACAAGACACCCAACAGGTATGACAAACATGAGAGACCGGGAGCTCATGAAACAAAACTTCCAGAGATGAGAGTTGGAAGGCTGCAACATCTCAGGATGGACCCAAAACGAGACCATCATGAAGGTTACCTGAGGGTCTAGGGTTTTGGGTCTAGGCCAGGCACCATCATATCTCTGACAACCTTGACCCTCCAAGCAGATGGAGGGTCCAGGTATCCTGTCTGTACGAGGCTGCTCCAAATTAAGCTTAAGCGCCATTGAACATCTGGAAAGGGGACTTGGTAACTAGGTTAATAATGAGGATAACTGGGGTTATTCTAGAATTTATAGGGGTTATAAGTATACTTAATAAGTCCCCCTGACCCTCCAAGTACCGTCTATGAAACACTAAATACCCGCTATTAGGGACCGTATACCCTTATTCAATGGTACAAGGAGGGTCCTAGAAACTCAACAGGAATCCTAAAAGCGAAGCCTCTCGGGCAGGCGGGCTCTAAGCTTGGGGACCCCCGTTCGTATTCCATACTCATTCCTGCATTGGGGGGTCGACCATGGGGACTTGGAAGTAGGTTAAGACCGGTGATAACTGGGCTTGTAATATGGCTTGTATGAGTGTAGGCGCATTAAAGAAGTTTACTAAGTCCCTGAAACCTTCCAGATAACCCTACGCCTTTTTTCCCAGCTGTCGGTATGTCCTGTAAGTCGTTTCAAAGCAGTGGTGGTGTTTGGCAGCCATTCAGCTCCAGGCAACGATGATTGATTTAGCCTTGGGGCCCTGCGCTTGCCCTCAGAGTTGCCCAAGGGGGCATCGCTAGTCTCAGAGGCCTGCGCATTTAGTCCTGGAGAGTCGGACTAGCTACGGAAGCCTGTACTGACAAGTTTACCTTGCTGGCAACATCCATAGACATATGGATTGCTCTCAAAATTATGGGCCCCTTTTGGTTTCAGATCATCTTACGGCACCTAGTATTCAGGGGTACCAAAATGGGACCTCAAATTTAGGAACCCCCCCGTATGGCAAAGAACTGAAACCAGGCAGCTTGGCCAACGGAGAAGAGCGGCAGTGTGACTCTCTCTAGCCAACTGCCAATCACAACAGCCAATCCCGCTGAAGATGGAACAAAGGCCCAGTTGAGCTGTTCCGAGCTTTTTGTCAAAAGCTAATTGTTCTAAAGGAGGGGATGTGGCCGTGGCAGTGGTGCTGGGCACAGGTTGGTATAGTGGGCTCAACTATCGCATTCGCTTCAACCATAGTTCTACTGATGAGATAAATGTATATATGTATACCGTATATATGTATATACATATATATATATATACATATATCTGTGTGTGTGCTAAATCACTTGCAGTACTCCGATGATTGTAACAGCAGAATGATCAGGCTAGCAGTCGCAATAGTAGACCTGGTAGTTGGGTAGTTGTAGTCGTAGTAATCAGCGGCAGCAGCAGGAGGAAGAGGAGGAGGAGTAATAACAGGTGGCCTGTGGTTGCAATCAAACCCAAAGGGTCCAGGCTTAGGCTTCAGGATTTAGGGTGTAGGGTTAAGGGTTTAGGATTTTGGGCTCAGGGTTTAGGAATTTAGGTTTTAGGATTTAGGGCGTAGGGTTCAGATTCAGAGCTTAGCGTTTAGGATTTAGTGTTTAGGCTTTAGGATTTAGGGTGTAGGGTTATGCACTCAGGCCCTCAAGTACCCATATGGGGACCCCTGGGAGCCAAGTATCCACCATTAGGGGGGAGGATGGTAGGGAACCCATGATTCCCACCTTGAGCCCAAACCTTGGGTTTCCCAAAGGAAGTATGGGCCCTAAGGCTTTTTGGGCAGATTTTAAGGATCCTTAAGGGTACATATAGGGTACCAAACCCTTTGTCCTGTCATTCTGTTCAGCTGGGGCCGGGACATGGAAGCTAGGATTATGATAACGGGTTATATATGGATAGCAGAAAAGAAAATGGAAGGTACTATTTGGGGTTTGGGGTTGGGGATTTAGGATTTCAGGGCTCAGTTGGGGATGCGGGACTGGACGATTTGCATTGTAATGAGGGAGGTAAGGAGACCCCTACGGATAAATTCCCCATCCCCAACTTGGCATGAGTGTGTTAAGGGCGGGCTCAGAACGAGCCCGCATCACAACTACGCCTTATGTCTTGCCCTTCTGCACATATGCCGGGAAACTCGGCAGTAACAGAGAATGCGCTGCAGAAGACATCATCGCCGGCTCCTTGCCCTTAGCTGAGACTTGCAGGAACCAAACAGAAGACCACACTTTTGAGGTGTAACGTTCAAGTTTGGGCTTCAGGTTCACAAAAAGCATTGAGCCACATGTTGGACAAGACTTTGAGGTTTAGGAGCCTGGAAACGCGTTTGCACCCTAGCCCTGCAAAGCACGGAAACATGACCACACGGTCCAGGGCTGAGGGACTGATATTCTTTCTGAAGTCAGAACCTACTCTACAAGCATTCGTTGATCCCAATGAGAGCACATTGGGGACTTACAACCGCCCTGACACCAGCAACCTACGATCCTTCACCATTGCTCTGATGCTCCGCGCTGCACCGACGGAGAGGCTAGCGGCCGTCAGACTCTTCGACACCTTCCGCACACATTATTATGCACCCTCCGTGATAGTGAACGTTCCGCATTCTGTATGACTATATGAGCTAGAATCTAAACTCCTCGTAGGCCCCTTGATACCCCGTAATCTTAATGCTCCCCTATATAATCCCTCATGGAACCCCCTTTGACGAGTGTAGACCATGGCTCATATTGTTGTTTGGAGCACATCTGTTATTGGTACTTGGAGGTTCATGGGACTTAGTAACTATTTATAGCTGGGCTTATAACCCTACTTATAACCCCCCTAAATGAGTTACCCCAATTATAAGTAGGGTTATAAGCCCAGTAAATAGTTACTAGGTCCCATGAACCTCCAAGTGGGAGGGGAACATGTCTTGCTTTGCTAGAAGCGGGGATTCAACTGTCGAGGTGCCATGCCGGTGGTCTCAATTCTTCAGATACTCATGATCATATGAGCTATAACCTAACATCCTTGAAGGGGGCCATATAGGTATATTAGGGGTTATTAAGGGGGATCCTGGGAGTTTAGACTCTAGGGTCATGTGAGTTGAAAT